TCAAGGAACAAAGGGCAGCGATCATCACGACAGCACTGGTTTTCACTGCAAAAAAAGGCAAAGTAGCAGAAAACTGCAGAAATATTTGCAGTCCTCTCTCTGAGCAGAGATGTGACACTCGTATTTCCCAAACCACAGCTCCACCCCTCGCCCAGCCCCGTACTCATGTGCAGCTGCTTCCAGCACCCCTGTGCTGGCAAGGCTGTCCACAGGCTCTCCAGTGGAAAAAGGGCTGAGCCATATCGCTACCCGGGGGCCAGCAAGGCTTGGCTCTTCTGGACCAGGAGTCCCATCCAAGGTGTGTTATCTCCTGCCAGAAGCTCTCCTGCCTGGGGACAGCTATTTCCCCATGGCAGGCAGAGTCCAGCATCAAAGCATCGCCCCTGCCGTGTTTCTTCCTGGGGATCGTGGCATTCGATTCGGTTCTGCACCAACCCTCATTGTCTCCCTGCAATCTAAATACGTCCTGACCTCTCCATGCAGGACTATCCCAGCCATCAATTAGCTGCCCGGTTGTGTGAATACCAGGAAACTGAATACACGGGTTTATAGTTCAGTGGAAAGTTCTGCTGCCATCTTAAATCATAAAGCACAGCTGCTGACACAGCAGAAGCTGCAAAATGAACAGAGCATCTGAGCAATCTGTGGTTTGGAAGCCGCTGGGAGGAGAATAAGCACAGCGTCTTGCAGCTCTGTTGGAGGGAGGAAGAAAGGACAGGCAGGCCAAAAGAGCAGACTGAAACTCATCAGAGTGCAATTGTAATGCGCTATACAACATGAACGCGTCCTGGCGCTCCAAAGTTAACTTGCAATTGAGAGAGAAAACGGCAGCTGAGATTCAGTGTCTACAAATGCGAACTAATGCCTGAGGCGGGGGAACAAACTCCAAATATGTACGCACACGCACAAAATAATCGGCTCTAAATGAGCTGTTCTGAGCTGGGACACAGATCTTGGGAGTCTTTGTGGGTCGTTCTGTGAAAATACCCACTTGGTGACGGGCTATCAAAGCCAAGCTAATGCTGGGACAGGACTTCAACAGGAAGGGCATGGAGAACAAGACAGAAATCATTGGTATGCCTGCAGGTGGAGCAGCACGTCCAGCCCTGGTCCCCCGTCTCAAAAGGGGTAGGGTAGAGCTTACAGGGGTACAGAGCAGGAGAAGCAGCAATGGGGAACAAGTCCTGCACAAAGGTTTTACAGCTTGGAGGCGACTACTGCCAATGCCTTCACGGACTCACAGGTGGGAGAGACAGGGACATGATTTGTCCTAACACAAGAATCAGTAAGCATCAAATGAAAGGCAAAAGGTTTAAAGCAACGAGTATTAGACAATTACCAAAGGTGTCATCACGGGCATGTCAGTTCCAAACTAAATTAAGGGGGCTGAGATTCATCTTTAGATGACACTGGGGCCTTGTCTCCACTGGAGTTACGTGCCCAGGCTTCCTCTCCAGACAGTGGAGAAGACCCCGTACCACCAGGGTGTAAGCCGTGTCCCCCAGGGTGGACCGCTAGAGCAGGCCAGGAGAACACGCCCTGTGCCTCTGCACCGAGGAGAAGGGCAGCCCTAGCACTTTTTCCAGGCGCAGGCATCTACAACGGTCTTGGAAGAGCATTTGGGCACCCTCAGCCACAGCCCTAGCAGGACCGAGGTCTCCAGCAGCCACCCTTCGGTGCGGCAGAGGCAAAGAATCTTCCCACCCCACCTTCTGCCGGAGACTTTCTGGACCACAGTGAAGGCAAAACACCTGCGGAAGAGTTAAAAATGGTTTCTTGAGGAACGCAGCCTGCAATTTTCCTTTCTACCCAATGGGATTCAAATAACCTAATTCTTGCTCTACATTCGTACGGTCTCTCTCTCCCCCGGATCACCCCTGGAGAAATGACAGCCAATGGTAAATACATGTAATCATAGCACTCTGATAGCGCCTCTTGTTCTCTGGCCATTAATTCATCTCCCTGGGACTTAGGTGAACATTTTGAATCCTGCAGCAAATTCAGAGAGCTGCTTTTATTTTAAAATCAACGCAGCAATAACAGGCTTTCTTCTTTCCCTCCTCAAAATGTAAATTTTTTTTAGCTTCAAAAATATCCTGGCACACAGAGAGATGTTTCTGATCGTGACCTTCTCTCAGGCCAACGACAGGTTTCCTATGCATAAGAAATCGCATGGATTTAAAAAAACCTCACAAACAAGGAGGGCATCGTGCTGCAGGGGCACATCACAGCACCCACCTCGAGCAAAGCCTTTGCCTTCATGCTCATGGTACCGTCCTAAGCACACGATCAGGAACCTTCCCTTGGTTCTCAATGTACGCTTCTGTTGGGGAAAAGCCAGAAGAAAAGAAAATGCAAAAGAGCCCTCCAAAAACAACGACCTTCTCCCTGATGACCGCTATTTCTAGGAAAGCAGAATCTTCCTGCAGACTCTTTCATTGTGCTGGAAACACGTTGTGGCTGAGGGCAGCTGGGGCCGTCGGAGCAAAGGTAGCGGAGTGGTGCTCAGCCTGCAGTACTGCTGCCTGCGGGCAGCTGCGCCGGGAGCAGCCAGCTCACCGTTAACAGAAATAAAATAAGACTCTACCAATTTTTACAGCCTGCCAGGAGGGAAAGCGCCAGCAGCAACCGAAGCAGCGACCGCCACGTGCTCAGCTGCAGAGGCTCCGGCTTTGAGCTGTCAGGGAAGAAAGGCATCGGCTTAACATCAGCTGGTACCACCACAACGTTCATCTGGGCGTCTGCACCGAGCTCTGCTCGTGTTCTCAGCGTGACTTCGGTGGCACCAGCGAAACCTTCTTTGATCAACCCACCACAACGTTCATCTGGGCGTTTGCACTGAGCTCTGCTCGTGTTCTCAGCGTGACTTGGGTGGCACCAGCGAAACCTTCTTTGATCAATGTCCCTAACCAGATTTTTTTCCTCCTTCTTGTTGCCTCTCAGCCATTGCCTTTTTGGAGCTGGAGAGGAACGAGGTTAAGAGCAGACCAGGAGGAGAAGCGAGCTGCTTTGCTGGAGGATCGAGGCCAGGACGTGCAGGGAAATCGCCGTCGATGGGAGGCAGCACCTGAGTGAAGTGGGGTGGTGGGAAGATGCATTAGCCAGAGCAGAGCTTGGTGCAGCACCTGCGCGACACCAGAGTTAGGATTTAGCTGTGCCGATGAGCAGTTCGGGAGATCAGATGGTCCCACCGGGGAAGATGGGGGAGAAGGGACCTGCAGGAACCAAGGCTGCGCCTCGGACAAGCGGCTGAGTCAATGGGGAGGAAAGGGTGCTCCTCGCCGGGTGGCACGGGCAGGAGCGGCAGGGCTCGGTGACAGGTGAGAGGAGGGTGCTAAAGGCCAGCGGGCAGATGGTGAAACTGTGATTAGAAAGTCATTCCAGCCATAAATCTTGGGGACCTGAACTGGAGACGGGCAAACCCCAGATGGCTTGGAAAGTCTGCCTGGCAGAGCCCAGCGCGTCGCAGCATGCATCTGTCCCTCCCTCCCTTCCCCTCCTCAGGCTGAACCACCTCCAGCCAGCTCCTTACAGCCAGAGCTGAATCTGGGACCCCTGAACCGAAAAGCCACTCCGATGCACAAACTAAAGCACAAAACCGTTACGTGGACCCCAACAACAATATTCTCCATCCCCAGCATGGGACTTCACGCGTTACTGGGGGTTGCATGCAACGCCCCGTCCCTGACGCGCCCCTCTTGGCTGCGGGCACCGTCCAGGGGGTCACGGAGGGTGCAGGAGCAGGCAGGGGTGCACCAGCAAAGCTGGGTGGAGGAAGGCTCCCCGCAGCCACACGCGCTATTTCTGGATATGCTGAGGAGCTGCTTAGGGCTGGATTTGCAGGCAAGCACGGGGGCATATCGGCTGTCCATGCTTTGGAAGGGGCTCAGCAACAGAAAAGGGGCAGGAGATTGGAATGGAACAGGATTTATGTAGAGATCCACGGGGAAAACCCATGTCTCCAAACATGAGTAACCTAACACTGAGCAGTAGTACCAGCTCCTGCCTGCCGATCCACAACAACAACCGGCCCAGCGCGAGGAACCCGGTGCTCTCACACTCCCGCCCGAAAAGCGCTTGCGACACCCACACAAAGGCACCTTGCCCGTGCCGAGCTCCCGAAACCCCACGCTCTGCCCGCTGGTGCCTCC